AAAAAAGCCGGAAGTGGCGCTGTGGCTCAAGTGGTAGAGCGCTAGCTTTGAGCTAAAGAGCTGAGGGACAGCGCCCAGGCCCAGAGTTCAGGCCCCACGACCGGACACAAAAAACAAACAAAGAAAAAAAAAAAAAAGAAGTATGAGAAAGCAAAAGGTCAACTTTACCAAAACCAAACAGAACCTCCCAGAAGCCTCCTGGAACCTGGGGTCACAGCACCTCCCTAGCACCGACGCTCAGTCCTGGAAAAAGGATACCAAGAAGCAAACTTCCTGAATGATGGCTCTGTTCTTTTCCTCTTCGTTGGACAGTAACCTCTGTCAGGGAACAGCACACACACACACACACACACAAAAGATTGAAGAGTGTTTATTTTCTGCTGTATATATCCGTTTGTCTCAGACAAACACCCCAGAGTGTCTAAGGGACATGGCATCTAAGCGAGCATAACTGGTTAACTACACATGAACATCTTATTTGAGAGAAGCCCAAAGACCTTTAAACAACCTTTATAAGCCAAGAATACAAGAAAAAGTAGAGACAGGCCACAGTAAAACAAGACAGATAAAGAGATACAAGAGACAGCAGATATGGGCACACACTATGGACCTCTAAAATCAGCCAAACTTGAGGGTTCACTGGCCAAGGTGGGATCACCTGGGGTAACCAGCCAGAAAAGCTGCTAAGCCTGCTACTGTCTCTCTTGACTAATGCAGACATCAGATCTAGAGAGGCCCTCCCACTAAACACAGGTCACCCTAGCTATGAACATGAACTCTGTATGAGTGAACTCATTCCTGGCCCATTACTTTGGCACATGGAGCAGAGACTGCAGTCCACAGCAAGGCCACTCTGATGCTCCTCTCAAAACTGACCCATTCCCCAGATGTGGCCGACAGGTCCCAAGAGAGTCCTCAACCCAGCTGAGGTGTGTTTCTAAGGTGGGAGGCAAGACTAGGACCAATGCAAACTAAGTGTGAGGGCCCCACCTCTGCCAGCAGCTCAAGGTGTCTTTACAATAAGCAGAAGCCCACACGAAATTCTTTATTACCTTTAATGCATATTCTCTGCCACTTCCCAGATCTTGAGCTTCATACACAAATGCAAACCCTCCTGAAAAATTAAAAAATACTTGCCAGTCAGTGCTACAAGTTAGGCTAGGTAAAATACAAACCAGGCTGTCGCCAAGGACACTCATTTCCCACAGAAAGCCACAGCCCAATTCACGCACTGCAGTCCCCACGTGCTCTGCTGGAGACTGGAGAGACCAAGGAAGGGCAGGAACACCAAACGCCAGTACTCTGAAAACCAGCAGATTAGACAGACACGTTCTAGACCAGCTGATCAAACTCAAAAGGAAGAATGAAGAAAACAAGAAGGTAGGAAAGTGGCCGCTTTCCTCGCTTACTGTGCTGAGCGCTGTGCCCTGCCTGAGACGCATGTGGGTGAGCGCAGGCTCTGGGAACACAGGCGCCGGCACGGCTGCCTCTGCCTCTCACTGCTTCCAGAGCCAGCTACCCACTACGTGATGCCACGGCCCATGGGGCGACTCAGGCCGTGAGTCTAGAAGCACCGCTTCCTACCTGGTGTGGAGGGGCAGGGCGTCAGCATGCTGCCCCTGTCCGGCACCCAGTACCAGTGTGTAGAAACTACTTGTAGCTGTCAGGTACAAGTGTAGCTCGAATGAAGGGATTTGGGGTGGGGGAGAGACCACTTAATTACTGCTAGTTTTGTACGTCTTTGTGAGAATAGGCACAGATGCAGCAATAACAGAAGACTAGGAGATGGGGTCATGCTTTTCTGTGTTCCTATGGAAACTATCAGCATATTTGTTTTCTATGGATTTTTATTCACTTTCCCAACATGCTATAAAGAGTGCCCCTGGTCTGCCAAGCAAGCGTTTATATCCTGTACAATGGCAGCAAGGGCCAGAAGCTAGCTTACTGCTGGGACCTGTTTTGAAAAGAAAGTATCGCCGGGCGCTGGTGGCTCACGCCTGTAATCCTAGCTACTCAGGAGACTGAGATTGGAGGATTGGGTTCAAAGCCAGCCTGGGCAGAAAAGACCGTGAGACTCCTATCTCCAATAAACCACTAGAAAACCGGAAGTGGTGCTATAGCTCAAGTGGTAGAGCGCTCACCTTGAGCTGAAGAGCTGAGGGACAGTGCCCAGGCCCAGAGTTCAAGCCCCATAATCGACCAAAAAAAAGTATCTTGGGTCTGGGAATGTGGCTTAGTGGTACAATGCTTGCCTAACATGCATGAGGTCCTGGGATCAATTCTTCAGTACCCACATAAACAGAAAAAGCTGCAAGTGGTGTTGTGGTTCAAGTGGTAGAGCACTAGCCTTAGCAAAAGAAGCACAGTGCCCAGGCCCTGAGTTCAAGCCTCAGGACTGGCAAAAAGAAAAAAAAAGAAAAAAATATCTTGAAATAATGAGACAGAGAAAGAGAGAAAGAAGGTGGCCACTTTTCAAAGAGGAAAGTGCCGACCAGCACCACTCATTAAGCTGCACCCAAAAATTAGTAAGTTCTTCATTCTAATATAGAAAGATATCAGCCAATCAAACCTAACAATGTATAAAGGGAAATACACCAAGTAGAGTTGGTTTAACATGAAAATCACTTAAATTTTATAGTTTCTAGGTATAATTGGGGGGGGGTCAGTTGTGGGCTTGAACTATGGGCCTGGGTGCTGTCCCTCAGCTCTTTAGCTCAAGGTGTGTGTTCTACCACTTGAGCCACAGCACCCTTCAGGTGTTCTGTGGTTTACTGGAGGTAAGAGTCTCATGGACTTTCCTGCCTGGGCTGGCTTTGAACTGCAATTCTCAGATTTCAGCCTCCTGAGTAGCTTGGATTACAAGAGTGAGCCACCAGCACAGGCTTAGGTGTAATTTTTTTTTAGGCTCAGTTTTTAAGCTTCTTACAAGAAGAAAAATCACACCACAAAATCTGAAACTCAGCAAACCAAGAATACAAAGCAACTTCCTCAACCAGATAAAGGGTGTCTGGGAAGGACTAGCATACCTAAGAGCACAGTGACACCAGGAACCAAGGAGAACAGGTCTGAGTCACTGGCAGACAATCCCTATCTCTCCAGAGGTTCTAACCAGTGCAACCAGATAAGAAAAGAAAATTAAAGACATTTAGGTCACAAAGAAAGAAGTAAAAGTACTTTTTTATTTGCAGATAACATGATCTACGTAGAAAATCTGAACTCTTAAAAAAAAAAAAGCTACGAGATAATGAGTTTAGAAAAGTTGTAGGATATAAAAACCAGATACAAGGTGGCTCAGTGGTAGAGTGCTTGCCTTGCATGCATGAGGCCCTTGGTTCAATTCCTCAGCACCACATAAGCAGAAAAGGCCAGAAGTGGGGCTGAGGCTCAATAGTTGTAGAGCTGAGGGACAGTGCCCAGGCCCAGAGTTCAGGCCCCACGACTGACCAAAAAAAAACCACAAAACAAAACAAAAAACTGTGTTTCTACACACTCAGAGGTAGGCAGAGATTTCTTAAAACCATTAACTGTTTGGGGAAAAAAAAGATAAACTATACCGAATAAAAAATCTCTGCTCTTTTAAATATATTGATGACAGTATCTTTACAATAAAAAAATTAAAAAAACAAATATGCTGGAGAGAGGATGGAAAACACACACACACTAAGTTTTGCAAATCACCTGAGAAGGGACTTCTATCTAGAAAATATTAAGAAAAACCAAAATCTAAGAGCAGGAGCACAGGCCCTATGCACAGACACCAGAGCTAGCTAACTGAAGCACAACTGTCCCACAGATAATCACCATAAGAGTCAGGTGGCGCTGCTTCATTTTCTACTTAATATACCTCACAGAGAGCTCAACCAGCCACCCCGGCTGTGCTTGCCTTCCTCACAAAGCCCATTTCAGAAGCTGCACCACAAGAAGCCCAAACAGGAATACAAGCCATCTCTGACATTCTTGATTCTCCCAATTATCTGTCTTTTAAAACCAATGAAACTGGGGCTGGGAAGGTGGCTCAGTGGTAGAGCGCTTGTCTTGCATGCATGAGGCCTTGGATTCGATTCCTCAGCACCACATAAGCAAAAAGAAAAAAGCCGGAAGTGGCACTGTGGCTCAAGTGGTAGAGTGCTAGCCTTGAGCTGAAGAG